AACAGAACAAAACCTGAGCCTCAGCAGTGTGTAAGACACCATCTAGTCTAAAACATGTAAAGAGAGAAAATATTTGAAGAAATAATGGCTAAAGGTGTCTAATATGTACAGTGAAGACAAACCACTTATATATCTAAGTTTCTCCCCCGGAACCCAAACAGATAAATACAAAGTTACCATAGAGTGAAGTGGCTTTAAAAAAAAATCAAAGACAAAAAAAAACTGTAAAGGTAGTCAGGAGAAAAACTGGGACAAACTGAACAACAAAATAATGATAGTATTAGATTATAATAACCCATGGAATAAATATCCATGGGTTCATAGTGATATGAATTTATTAATTTTAGAAACAGAAGTAGGACAGCTTTTCCTTGTGTAGAATACTTATTAATAGTCCTCGAAGGAAGTAGGAAAGCCATGTTAAACACGTAGCGGCAAATGTTGCTGTTATGAAACACTGATGGAAAAATTAAAAATTAAGAGAGACACTTCAGTGAAAAGTACTTGTTGTCAGGGCCAACAACCCACTAATTTTGCCATCCAGCCTTTATCACTTGTTCTTTCGTTTTTAAAATTACATTTCATTTACTTACGTGTGTGTGTGTGTGTGTGTGTGTGTGTGTGTGTGTGTGTTTCATCTCTGCCCTTCTGCCCCCAGTCCTCAGTCCACAGTGGCTTGTGTGGCATTCAGAAGCAATCTTGCTGGAGTCAATTCTCCCTTTCATGTGGGGCTTGGGGATGGAACTCAGGTCGTCGGACACAGAAATAAAGTACCTTTCTTATGAAATATGCATTAATTTATTAATGAACTACGCATCAATAACAAAGAGGAAAATGGTGGCTTTATAGCGAGCGAACCTGGGAAGATCCTATCATAACTATGTCACCAAAGTCACCTTCTCAGTAATAAGACACAGTAACATTACGAGCTCCTGATGTTATCTTCAAAGACAATCATGCTGATCATTTTTTGTGGCATTCTTGTCCAAAATGAGGCAGTCATGAGAAAGCAGAAGACAAACTCAACCCGAGGGACAAACTGCAAACAAAACTGATGATTCTGCAAAAACATCTAAGTGATGAAAAAGAAGAAAAAGTGACACCCTGCACCTTCCTGGACATTCTTCCTGGCCTTTAATCCCAAAGGTTATTCCCCACCTTGAGGCCCTTTGAGCAAGCGGCTTAGACTTCGGCCTGCATTCTCATGCGCTCTACTCAAAATGGCTTTCCTGGTCTCGGCTTTCAGGGGACCTGCAGCTCCCAAGCTTGATTGCACAGACCCAGACACTCAACACTGGGTGTCCTCCTAATCCAGGATTCTGGGAATGGGCTCTGATTGGCAGAGCTCATAGCGTACACAGACCCTTGTCTATTCATCTGGACCCACAAAGCATGCCACTGGCTGAAGCATGGCCACCAGGAACTGTCCTTGTTCCCTTAGGGTTTAGAGGGCTGGGGCGAGGAAGCAGTTAGAGAAAGAGGGTAGGCCATCGACCCAGGAAATGCCTGCATCTCTGCCAACTGTGCCATGTACTCCTCTCGGGAGCAGCTAACCTGTTAGAAACCATCCTTTTAGTTTTCCAGTCAGGGATGATGTTTGAAAAGAAAGACTACGAAAATGTCAAAGACTGAAGGAGAGTTGGGAGATACAATCCAGATCCCGGATCAGAACAGGACAGCGGGAAGAGCAACACAGCTCAAATTCTGTAACAGGATTAGTTCACAACATTGAATTACCAAGCTTTGTCTTCGTTTGGTAATTGTGATGTGGCAATCAATATAAGATGTGGACGTTAGGGGAAGCTGGGTGAAGGGCAGAAGGGGACTTTCCTTAGTGCTTTGTAATGACAAGATAAACACACCAGTTTCACAATGAAAAGTTAGGGTGTGGGGGACCAGCTAGAACAAAAAGATAGGGAAGAGAATAGAAGAGATAAACTTCAGCAGAGACAGTGGGGTCAGCACACAGTGGGACCTCTTTGTTATGGCTTGAATGTAAAATGACCCTCACAGGCTCATTTGGAGGTCACGAGTTGGTGGTGCAGATTTGAGTTTTGTGGACTGTTCAAAAGGTAAGTCCTGGCTGGTAGAAGGGAAGTTCCGGGTTTCATCTACGCCTCCCTGCTTCCAGGTCTGCTCTCACAGTGTGACCAGCAGCCTCAGGTACTGTTCATCAGGGACCAAGAGACTCCTGTCACAGGGTCTTCTCTGCCATGATGGACTGAGAGTCCCTCCAACTTAAAGCCAAAACAAACATTTTTACATCTTTAAATTGTGTCTGTCAGGAATATTGAGAAAAGTAATATAATATTGGAAGTACTAAGAGGAGGGCCAGAGAGATGGCTCACTGGGTGGAAGTGCTGGTTGAGCAAACCAGATGACTGACCTGAGTTCCATCCCTGGATTCCATGTTGTCCTCTGACCTCATCGTGTATGATGGCATGCATGTACCTGCATATACCACACACGCACACACACACATACACACGCACACACATACACACACACATATAGACACACACAATGCAATTAACTTGAGGATGTAATATGATGGGGGGGACCTCTGACAAGCTATAAAACTATTTCTAAGAAATATCATTAAAACCAGAGTGAAGTAACTGGAGGTTAGGCATATTTGTTTAAGAGAGTTGTAAGAGTTGCTAATTAAAAAAATAATTAACTTACCTTTATCTTATGCACATTGGTGTTTAACCTGCATGTATGTCTGAGCAAGGTGGTCAGATCACCACAGTTACAGACAGTTGTGAGTTGTTACCATGTGGGTGCTGGAAACTGAACCCAGGTCCTCTGGAAGAGCAGCCAGTGCTCTTAACCACTGAGCCATCTCTCCAGCCCCGGGAGTTGCTAAACTTAAGATGCTTTCCAGGATGAAGGGAAGTGTTTCTAGATAGAAACTCAGAACTATACAATGGTGTTCAATATCAGAAACAGTAAATATGTGGATGAATCTGGTCTCCTTATTTAAGGGGTTAAATAACTGTTTAAAATTTAAAATGACATTGTGAATTACTGTTTTATGTGCATGTGTATATGAAGGTGTGTGTGGGACAGGTACACATGTGTGTAGTTGCAGGAACCGTGCGTGGATGGGGGCGCTCAGAGCATGAGGAGGGGTGTTCTGCTCTGTTACATTCTGCCTTGTTTTTTTAAGCTGAGGTTTCTCACTGGACCTGGAGCTAGGCTAGCTGCCAGCCAGCCTTCCATCTCTGCACTCCTTCCCATGGCACTGGGCTCACAGGCCAGCGTATGTCTGTGCTTGGATACGGGCACTGGGGATTTGAACCCAGGTCCTCATGTTGGTCCAGCAAGCACTCTTAGCACTCATACATCTCCCAGCCTCACTAGTATTATTATTGTGCTTGAGATGGGGTTTTGCTGTGTAGCCTGGGCTGGACTGGGGAATGGCCATCCTCCTGCCTTACCCTCAAGTGCTGGGACTGAGACACGTATCGCCACGCTCTGCTACGGCTCACTCACTATGTATAAGGCACTAGGCTGTAATAGCATAAAAATACAATCGTGGTGGGGCAGTGGTGGCGCACACCTTTAATCCCAGCACTCGGGAGGCAGAGGCAGGAGGATCTCAGTGAGTTTGAGGCCAACCTGGTCTACAAAGTGAGTTCTAGGATAGCCAGGGCTATAAAAAGAAACCCTGTTTTGGAAAACAAAGAAGGAGGAGGAGGAGGAGGATAAATAAATAAATGCAATTGTGCAAATTAATTTGTACAGTTGCAAAGTCCTTACCTGTTACACAAAATGCTATAATATCCTGGTGTTGGGGAGGTCTGAGGGAGAAGTTCTCACCTCTGCCTAGGATGAAGCCGGAGGACAAAGAGTTGTCAGACAAGATGGCATGGAAGAGATGACTTTTGAGATGTTTTGAAAAAGTAAGTGGAATTTTCCAAATGGAAAGAGGAAGGGAGGTCAGTCAGATGGAAAGGCATGGGACATTTAGGAGTGACAAGAATCTCCTGGGCAAAGGGCGAGTTATGGGCCAAGGCCTGGTATCAGGTCTGTTTTCGCCACGCCCCTCCCACAAGGTTTCCTGTAGCTCAGACTGGCTTCTATTGCCCTATGTACTCAAGAACTACCTGGAACTTCTGGTCGTCCTGCCTCCTTAGCGCTGGAATTACAGGCATACACCATCACATCCTGCTTTTGTAGCGCTGGGAATCGAATCCAGTGCACGCAAGTAAGTGCCCTACCAATTAAGCTGCATCCCAGCCCTCCTCTCGTTTTCACACCATTACCGTTCGTGCCCCAGGATACACAGCCCCAGCCGCTTCCTATGGCCTCAGCTTCAGTATTTTGCAATTTTTGAGCTTCTAGAGGTTTCCTATCTAAGGGAAGACCCAAGGAAACTAGCAGGGAAGTGATCTCTGAGGGAAAAAAACTAATAAAAATAGTGAAGTTGAGTTTGGAGGCAATACAGTGACTGCCCTGAAACGGTCATAAGACACGTGCTAAAGTGCAAGCAAACATTTCTAGACAGAGGCTCTTCACAGATCCATCTTCTCTAACACAAGTTGGAGACGTGGAAATTGCCAAGAGGCTGCAGGGAAAGCTTTCGACAGCTGCCTGTTAACGAGTGACAGAGAGAATGAATGAGACTGGAAGAAATCAAAGTGAACCAGGCTAAGTGAAGTATCAGTGTGCTGATGTCTCTGCGGAGGTGGGACTAGAAGAGTCCAGGAAGTGTTTCTAGTACTTTCTTTTCTCTCTCTCTCCCCCCTTCTTTAACCAGTCACCCAGGCGCGAAACCCTGGGACCCAGATGCGCACACGACCCTGTGGAGCTCGGTTCTCACTAGTGAGTTCTCGCGTGGATCCTCGTGGAGAAAGTCTGGGAAGGGTTCTAAAGAGAGGCGCGCCAGTTTCACCATCGCGCTCGCAGCCTCAGGCAGGGTCCAGACGGGTGCCCGAGGGGAGGGAGCGCACGCCCTTGGCCCGCCCCGCGCGTCCCACCCACTGCGTCCCCTCCTCTCCCCTCCCCTCCCGCCGCGGGAAAAGCAGCCGTGGGCGCCAGGCTCGCCGTGGCACGCGGTGTGTGAAGGGCAGCGGACAGGATGCGAGCGCGGCGGCCGGGGTGGCTCTGGGCAGCTCTACTGGCGCTGGGGACACTGGCGGGCGTTGTCATTGGAGGTGAGGGAGGCGAGTACGATGGGACCGTGGGACCCCGGAGCTCGGGCTGGGTAGCTGAGGAGCCTGGGGGTGGGTCCTTCCTCCACTGGCCTCGAGGGCGCGTCGCGGGTGGCAGAGGCAAGGTGGGGTTCCGCGGGGCGGCCCCAGCGCCCTGGCAGAGGGATGCGGCTCACCTGCTTGAGTGAGCGCGTACACACTGGATTGCCCCTTTCTCCAAGTAAGGCGCGTCTCTCCCCACGAGTTTGTTCATCTGGCTGCTCCACTCTTTAAGGCCTTTAAGCCTTCTGGGACAGACCTCGCAACCAACACGCCCTGACTGTGTGCTGGGAGTCAACACAGACATCCTTGGGGATGGCTTTGTCCCTTCTCCGTGCAGCTCACACCATCAGCTGCCTGGGCAGTCAGCTTTTGGTCTCACTGGTGCTGCGGGATGGGGAGTGGTCCAGTCAGCAGAGCCGGAGGGGAGCGGGAGGTGATCTTGTTGGAGGTGGAGACACTGAGGTTCTGGGTCAGCTGGAGCAAGCTAAACTTTGCCAATGTGTGTGTGTGTGTGTGTGTGTGTGTAGTGTGATAGGGTCTCACGTATTTCAGGATGCTTCACACTGTGTTGTCGAGGGTAACCTTGAACTTCAGACCCTCGTGTGCCTTCACTAGTGAGTGCTAGGATTACAGATGGGCACCATGGCTCAGGGTTTATGCGCTGCTGGGAGTTGAACCCAGGGTCTCCTTATACCAAGTGCGCTTTATTAATTGAACTATATCTCCAGACCCAGATGGGCTAATTTTTTTTAGGGTAAAATTTTATTAAGTTGATTTTGAGACTGAGTGTTCAAAAAAAATAATTTAGTGGTTGCCTTCAAGACCCTTCAAGATGATCCAGATAAAGTGCAATGGGCCTGAAAGGATATCTCAGGAAAACTTGCGGTTGCCCATTGTTGCTGAAGCTTCCCAAGGACAGATGAAAACTGTGATCTTTACCCTACATTGGACGAGCCTTGTGACCACAGAACAGAAAGCAGGATCTCCAGCATTGTGTCCTGGAGATGTGTGAGCCTCTGGCAGCTGCTGCTTGCCATTGACTGGGAATGGGGAAACTCACCAGGAAAGTTGATGTTTCTTACAGATAGATAGGTTAACTTTCATGAGTGTAAAACCTTAAAAAAAAAAACTCACCACTTCTGAATTTTAAATTGACATATAATGACAGGGTGTGCCTTTGTAAAGTGTGGAAATGCATACACAAGTACCCTGTGCAATGATCAAACCAAGGAGCTAATGTTCTTTGTTGTGTCTGATAACTTCCAGCTCTTCTCCGCTATTTTTTTTTGAGATATATTTCAAATACTTTGTGGTTTGTTTCTATTGATAGCTTTCAAATTAACTTCTGTGTGTCATCATCATCATCATCGGTAATTTGAGAAGGGAGTCCTGAGTTCACAGATGGTGCCTAGAGAGCAGGGTGTTTGATTCAGCTCCAATGAGGATGAAGTATATCTGCTGCTTTGGTCCCTAACTCTCTCGCACCTTTCCTGAACCCACGTATTACTTGTTGGTTTGTTCATACAGTAGCAATGATTCATACAGGATCACACTGCTTGGGTATAGCTAAGTCTGGGTCTAAAGATCCTTTAATGGGGACAGGGAAGGTGAGGAGTCTGGACTGAGAAAGTGGGAGGACCTGGATTCTATCCCCAGAACCTATTTAAAAAACTTGGTGTAGTGGTGTGCTTGTAATTCCAGTGCTGTGGGAGGAGACAGAGGCAGACAGCTCCCTGGGGCGCACTGGTGAATCAGTCTGGCCTACTTGGGGAGCTCCAGGATAGAAAGAGATCCTGTCTCCAAAAACGGTGGTATTTCTGAGCAATGATACCCAAGGTTGCCTTCTGGTCTCTGCCCAGGAGCAATTGTAAATGAACATGCATGGATAGGTGCACATACACACCAAAACAAACAGTTGAAAGCCGCAATACCGCTAGGCTATCTGTTCACAGGTCTGCTGTGATCGAAATACCCCAGAGAGGTGACGGCTTGTGCTGAGCTAGCCTCAGACTCCCTCTGAGGAGCAGGTGGAGTCCTGTCGAGGGTCAGAGGACTCTAGAGCACCCTGTGAAAGAAGTGTTTGTCACACTTGTGGCAGAGCTGCAAGTATCATTAGGTCCCCAGGGAAGCAGGTGCCCTGGGATGACAGGACAGCTGTTTGGGGACACAGAACCAGAGTGGGAGTGAGGTGGCAGAGAGAGGCTGTCCGGAGTAGGAGAGTCTGCTGTGAGGTGATAAGAGTTGTTGTGAGTTTCAGTTTTTATCTACAAAGATAATCATTTATTTTCATCTGAATACTGGGTTGTGTGGCTTCCTCCTATTTAGTCCTTAGTCTAGCTTAAGTAGGTCAGAGATGGAGTGCTTATATTTCTTTTAGAGTTTATATTCTGGAAATTCTCCAACTGAAGCCCTCTTTCAGAATCCCCAGGGCCTGGAGAGATGAGGAAAGGGGAAAGGGACCACTGGGGTTCAAACCAGCAGGATGTAGGTTTGGTTCTTGACTTTGCGCCTGATTGATCATGTGATCTTGCTAGTGTCTTAGCCGTGTTTCCTCACCTGTAAAGTGGGGGAAAGCAGTACACAGACTAAATGAGACAAAGACACAAATTGAGTGTTCTATAAATGGTGGTTCCTGTTGTCATTACTTTTCCTATCAATCACTGGTGTGCACTATGGACCGCAGGCCAGAGATGTCACTACTTCATGCATCAGTGCAATCCAGGCTCCCAGTTGAGAATTCATTTCTCACATCCTCTTAATTCCGCCCATTTCTCTTTGGTGGCTTGGGACATTTCAGCCCCTCTGGCCCTGTAAGAATATACAGAGAAGGCCCAGGAGAAGAGAGGCCCACACATTCATTTATCCCCCTATGAATCTCAACTTTGTAAGATGAAGGTGGTAAAACCTAATGCATAAGACTTCAGTCTCTACAAAGAGAGCAGTGTCTGTTTTGTTCAACACTGTGCCTGGTTCTTGGCACACAGGCAGCAAAAGAACTATGTAGGGAATGTTATAAAAAGATATCTAAGCCGGGCAGTGGTGCATGCTTTTAATCCCAGTACTCGGGAGGCAGAGGCAGGCGAATCTCTGTGCGTTTGAGGCCAGCCTGGTCTACAGAGTGAGTTCCAGGACAGTCAGGACTACACAAAGAAACCCTGTCTCAAAAACAATAAGAAAATAAAACAAAACAAACAAAAGACATCTAGAGGTGATGTCTCTTAATTTGAAGAAATTCAATATTTATAGATTTGTAACCTCAAGTGTTCTTACCTGAATACTCTGGTGTGTGTGTGTGTGTGTGTGTGTGTGTGTGTGTGTAGCTGAGAACAGAACGCAGGGTTTTGTGCTTCCTGAATGTGTTCTACTGCTAAACCACACCCCCAGCCCTTTGGCTATTTGGGGCTTTTGCACCGTTGCACATCTTCCGACCAGAGAAGGTTGAAAACACAGGGATCCTCTGAAGTGTCTCCCCTTTGTCCTGTCTTTGGAAGAGTCACTAGAAAAATCTTTTCTGTTCCCCCTCCGGTTCACAAGCGTGATGGCGAAGGTGACATGTGTCTCCTGGGAATAGCATAAGATAGGACGAGGAGGCAGTGGCGTGAGGAGGGGAACTGAATGTGACTCTAGGATTTCCTGATAGAAATTCTCCCTTTGCAATTCCCCACACTCCCCGAGTCTCTGTTTATCATCTCCTCCCAGTTGCAAGAATCCTGCCCTTGTTGGCAGCAACAGCCAGGAAGCATGCCCACAGGAACCGCAAGTCATGAATCAGCAGACAGATAATTAACCGGGCAAGGGGTATGTGTGTGTGTGACTGAGCAGCTTACCCCTACCCTCCTTGCTGCCCGCAGGCTGGCCTGCTAGAGCTCACCATCCCCTCCTCTGCCTGCTCCCCAAGTGGAAGAGTCCTGTGTCTACTGCTACTCAGGTCACCAGTGGATATGAACCTAGGAGCTGGGAATGATGCTGCTCCAGGCTTCTTCTCGTTGGGAACTGACAGAATTTATTGGAACTTGAGACTCTGCAGCAAAATGATAAACTCTTACCTTTCTCTCCAGGCACATGGTGTCCCCAGAAAACTTCCACCCCTTTAAAGGGCTAGAGTTGGGGGCAGTTAAGAGTGCTTTCTGATCTAGCAGAGGACCTGAATTTAGTTTTAAGAACCTATGTAGGTGGCTCACAACTGCCCGTAACTTCAATTTCAGGGGAACTGACATTCTCTTCTGATCTCCCTGGGCACTGAACACATAGTGCACATGCATACATGCAGGTACAATACTCATACACATAAAATAAAAACATATACATCTTAAAAAAGGAGGATTGGGCTAGAGAGATGGCTCAGTGGTCAAGAGCATATAATACTCCTCTAGAGGATGTGGGTTCAGTTTTCAACACCCACATGAGACAGTTTTCAACCACCTGTAACTCCAGCCCTTGCATGTATGCTGCACATAAGCTCATGTAGGTACACACACACACACACATACACACACAAACACACACACACACACACAAACACACACACACACACACACACAGAGAGAGAGAGAGAGAGAGAGAGAGAGAGAGAGAGAGAGAGGAAAATAAAGAAGTCTTTAAAAATGAGTATCACTGAAGTGTAATTTACTATGCCGCGGGGTTCAGCATTCTCAGTGTGCAATTCTGTGTACTTTTGGTAAAGACATACAGTCAAATAATCACTACCATCATGGAGATGGAGAGGATTTTCAGAGAAGTTCCCTCCAGCTTCTTCATAAATCTTCTCTTCCCACTTCTGGTCCCTGGCAACCACTGATCTGTCTCCTGTCCCCATAGATCTGTTTTACAGAATGTCAATGAGATAAAAGCACGGTATGTAGACTTTTAAGTCTGGCTTCTTCTACTTGTAATGTACTTATAGTTCACCTGAGGTGTTGCTTGTGTCAGGAATTCCAAGAGCTCCCTGGGGGCCATCCCAT